TAAGCTCAGCCGAGAGCTTGGTCCGCTGCTACGGATGCGGCGGACATGGACACTACCAGCGTGTGTGTCCCTCGCTAGTCCTCGGGAAGAAGACGGCCCGTGGGCCCCAAGTCCGGTGGCGCAGGCCACGGCCAGGTGGACGAAGACTCCCCAGCCACCAGTAGAGGCTGTATGCCCTACTGAAGAGCGCTAAGTCTTCGTGATGGGTGTGCAGGTTGTGCGCACCACGGGACTTAGCCCAGAGAGACGTGGTTCTCTCAAACCGGTGAAGGGCAGTGATGGGCTGCTGGTAGTACACTCGGTGTACGGGGGTACGGTACCCCTTGAACGTTTGATGAGTTCTGGGGCGTTGATACGCCGCCGGAACGTCGCTTGGCATAGCGACATCCGACTGCACTCTATGTCAGAGTGGCGGTCGTGGGCTGGTCCTTGGTGGACTAGCCTTTGGTACGGTGAAGGAAGTACCAATGGTCCTCAATGGACCTGAACGTTTCGGCTCGATGAGCTCGCGCACCGCGGTGTCGCTCGCAGTTCTCGCCATGAACAACATGGCTGTGCCGAGCATAAGGCACAGCCCGGACTTTGGTGTGGCAAGGCTGAGAAGGGCCTACCAGTCCAGGTCTATGACGGAGCATTGGTGAGTCATGTTCCCACCTCCGTCATGACTGGGGCGTCTGATATAGACCGCCAGGACGCAGAAGCGTCACGGAGCTGTCAACGCGCCGACAGCTCTGCGTACAGCAAGACCATGCTACGCTGCGGCAATGCCACGGGCATGAGTCTTCTGCCCGGCGTGTGGACCTGCTACACCAGCAGCGTCCAACGCCGAAGGTCGTCGCGCCGTACGGGCTTCGACAGTGGTTATGCCTTTAAGCGCTAACCAGGTGGGTAACTTAGGACCACACGGTCGCCCAGACCTTAACTGAAGAGGAAGGCGCTGAATGCGCTTCCTGTGTGGGTAACACAGTACCACACGCAGTCGCCCAGACTATAACTGAAGAGGAAGGCATTGTCCATGCTTCCTGTGTGGGTAACACAGTGCCACACGAGGTCTCGAGTGCCTCAGATGTCGTCAACGAGACATCACGACGTGGGTAACGAAGTGCCACGTCACATCAGCCGCCGCAAGTCGGGTCTGAACCTTGTTCAGGCCGACGTCGCTTCAAGTGACTCGGAGTCCAGGGCCCGGACTCCTCTGACTCGGTCGGTGGACACCAACTCTGTCCGGTGTGTGGGCGGGTCTGCCACACCAGCCGATCCCAGCACCGAAGGTCGTCGCGCCGTATGCGCTTCGACAGTGGTGGTGCCTAAGGGCATTCACCAGGTGGGTAACATAGGTCCACACTGCGGGTAACAAGTTCCGCAAGCAGTGAAGCTGCTTAAGGAGACCGACATTCGGTGCTCCGAGCGTGGGTAACAAAGTTCCACGCAAGGTCACTCAGACCATAACTGATAAGGAAGTCGCTGTATACGCTTCCGGTGTGGGTAACAGAGTCCCACACCCAAGGCGAGTACCATAGCGCCGCACACAGAGCCATTGGCTCGAGGCGCGAGGTTGTCTTGGCCTCGCCAGACGTGAGCAACTCGCTCGACGTCAAGTCGCGCAGACTCAAACTGCTGACGCGAAGGCTGAATGCCTTCGGTCGACACGGCCGACGCGGTCGACCATACTGACGCAGTGCACATGGCGGAGAGCCGTTGCGCCTGCCAGTGGCTATTAGAAGCCACGAGAGACTCAGTAGTCTCGAGGTTAAGTGGGGGAGAGGCTCGGAAATACCTTTCCTCCCTGACTTTCCAAGAGGCAAGTATCCGTCGTGCTGCCAGTGGATATCACAAGCCACGAGAGACTCAATAGTCTCGAGTGTAAGTGGGGGAGAGGCTCGGAAATACCTTTTCTCCCTGGTCTTGAGGTAAGACCAAGTTCCTAACGGAACCAGGCGTCGATGTACATCGACTGCAGGCTGGAGACGAACAGCCGGGCTAGAGCTGCGGTAGCTCTAGCCGAACAAGACATAGTGGCGAAGAAAGCCACGGGCGCAAGGTGCCTCGAAATCGCTGAGCGAATCAGCAGTGTTGGGGCTGCAAGCAACCACACACGAGGCGAAGCGCGGGCCTAGTGCAATCAATGCACTGGTCCATTGGTCATGAACGACCTGTCGAGTAGGGTGAACGGAACGTCTCACCCGCCGACAAAGCGGTTGCGGTACGTATGTACGCAACGCGCCGGGTATAATGGGCCGTGGAGCCATAACCCAAGTGTGGTGCACGAGTGCACACACAACTGACCAGGTGGTGGTCGAGGCAACGCACGCAGTCGTAACTGGTGTCGCGCCGAGCATGACACCGTGGTGATGGCTGCTTGCCTCACCATGGGTTGGTACCCGTGAGTACTCGGTGTCAATGCCAGACACCAATGCCAGTAGCATGGTGGTGAGATATGCCCCACCACGATCGAGTACCATCAGGGTACATGGTGTCTGTGACAGACACTGGTATAGGTGCAAAGGATATGTACCATACCACGACCCGATGCGCTCTGGACGCTGTGATTCAACGCACGTACCGTGCATCGGCACTGGCTGCTGTGGAGCAGCCTGCCAGGAGTTCCACGTAATGAACTCGTCGTGCATGACACACATGACGTGCACGGAGCACTTATGGTAGCTGTGGTACGTGTCGTACACAGCGTACCTCGTGTACGGGCCCATGGACCTGTACACTGTGCTTGCACATGCGTCGTGCATGATGCGAGCACTGGCCATGAATCTGTTCAGGCGACAGCACAGCAGAAGCTGTTGCCGCCAAGCATGGCAACCTTGTGGTGGGCGTACCGCACCAAAGGTTAGTACCGTACGGTACATGGTGTCGATGGGAGACACCTACACCACGGTTGTGTACCGTCACGGTACACGGTGTCGATGAAGGACACCTTCGCGCCGTTGGTATGGTGACCAAAACGCGAAGAGAGCGTGGCAAAAGCTCCGTCCGCAAGGATGAATCCTTGCTGGAGCCAAAGGCATGGCCCGAGGTGAGCTGAGAGCTCCCTCTAGTGCTGGGGAAGGTGTCGCCCTTCTCGGTGTCATCCCTCGCGGGAGACACCATGCTTCGGACGCGTTCGCGAGGACTGTCGTGTCCTCTGGTGCGAACTGTGGGCGAATGCCACACGTTCGGATGCTATTGCACGCTGTGCCAAAGCACTGTACGCGCGCTAGCGCAGGAGCTACGGCAGCTCTGAGTGTAGGCTTTGCGGCCAACACAGTTGTGAGCATAGGGATGCAAATCCCAGTGAGCTTTGGCAGCACAAGTCACTGTGGATGTGACTGAGAGCCGCGCCAGTCTCGTGGCTGCTCAGTGTGAGAATTCACCTTTTGGTGTTTTAATTCTCTCACCTCTGATTGGAGAATCAGTTGTGATTAGAGAATCAGGTGATTCTCAGTTAAGTGCGGGAGGATGTAGCGGGGTACAATCCAGTGTGCCCCATGTTACATAAAGAGTGACCCGTCACTCTTGTGGACACCTGGTACACGGTACCAGGTGCTCTTGGAACCAGTCAGTGCATGACTACTTAGCATCACTATAGGTAACCTCTAGTTTGTATGAGACCCAAGCTTATCTTACTTATAAATACATCAGTCTTAAATCTACTTCTCTAAGTAGCAAACCGTTCCCACTGAGGCCGGGAACACGTGGACTTACGTTCACTCGGGTAGTTAATACCCTTAAGCACTTCCTCTGTGCAAGGTGCTGTGTGACCCCGTCACAGTAGCTTAGCGAGGGGCTTTGTTCGAGTTGCTCAAATTAAAAAGTGAGGACGTGAGCAAGCTGTGTCGTATAGCTGGCTTAGAGAAGTGAGAGTTTAAGAACAGTAGTGAAAAGTCATGGTTGGTTGTGAGAGGTACATAATCAATAAAGAGGTTTTGCTCATAAATTATGTCGGATGATTCCTTAAGCAAATAAATTATTAATAACATCCAGGTAATCGACGAAATAAATAATTTTATGATTTCATAAGAAATAATTTAAAAGACCATGCCATAATCGGGAGCCCTGCTTGACGGGATGGCGGGACGCACGCATCACGTGACGTGACATCTACGTGCGTCCCGCCATCCCATCAACCACCGCGTCACCAAAACTCAAAATCCCGGCAATCAAAACCCCCCCATTAACAGAAAAAAACACAAACTTCGAAACCGAAACGATACACAGTCAAAATACTTCCAAGTTGCAACTCAATACACTACATGATCTATGCTACTCACCAAAAACGCGCTACCAGCCCAATTCTCTAGTGTCGTCGCACTAACACTAGCCAGCGGTTTGGCATTAACAGTATTTGGTTAAATCAAAAAGAGTGTAGCACCACTACCCAAATGCCAGCATGGAGATCAGTCCGATAGGATGATCCATTTTCCGATAAAACTGGAGGATCGACAAGGAACATCACAATTAAGGTTTTCGTGATGTGTCCTACTCGTTATACTAGATCACGTTCGCATTTACTTCGCGGGTCGAAACCCGCCACACCACACCCTCATGGCGACGACGATGAACAACTTGACTCCCGTTCGGCACGAGCCATAAGTATATGATAGTAGCTGCTGTAGCTGGCTCAATGCTGACCCATATTCGAGCAAATACTGCAGTGTCGGCTGCATGACTTTGTTTAGCACGGAGTAACAATAACCTGATAATGCGCTACAACAGCGCCTAGGTGGGCACGTTGTCAAATACTGCCTATTGTCGGCAACGTCGCACTTCTTCTCTGCTCTACGTCGACGCCTTGAATACTACTGGCGCAACGAGCTGATTATAACCCTATTTGGCTTAAATGCCTTCCGAATGTCTCGTAAACCCCGCCAACTTGGGCCGCAAGTAAGATGCTGTCAATCATGTAGTTCAGCACGATATCTCGTTTACGGGTAGCGGTACCGGACATTCCCCGTAACCCCTCACGAGTCAGCTTTCATTGACAGTGAGTTTGGTATGCGAAGTGATTAATAATCAGTTAATTACAAGCTTAAAAGAGGACAGAGACACGGAGGGGTCAAATTGCTCCTAACTTACTTTCTTGCATTGTTGCGTCGCTTTAGAATGTCGAGTGCTTCGTAGAACCCGGAAACGTCTTCTTCGACGGTGCTGCAGCAATTGAACGTCAGTCACCATAATACTAAAGCAAACAAACGAAACTCCGCCGTACCTTGCTGTGCTTTGTCTGGCCGCTGACGATCGAAGCGACTGTGACGACGAGAGCCTCTTCGGATCTTTTGCCTCTGAATCCCAAGCTGGAGGCCGTCGAGAAGCGCTTTCAGGCCGTTGAGGTGATGACGATTTGGTCGGTTTTGCCAGCTCAGCCTGCTGACTCCGATTGCCTAGAGACCGATTCTCCTCTGACTTGGCTTGAGCGAGCAGCGTCTCCGTCAACAGCGCCCCCTTCCCTTGTCGCTGATACCACAGATCAAAGTCCTTCTGGAGCTTGAGGCGACCCATCTCGAGCATCTTCTGGATGTGCTGGATCTCCTTCTTCAGTTCGCTGAGCTCGTGGAATCCTTTCTTGTATGCAATCTTGTGCGTGTCGATCTCTGCCTTGAGTTTCTGCTCAGCAGCTTCCATCTCTGCAGCATCCGAGCTAGAAGACCCGTCACCCGCCGCCCCAAGAAGCCCCTCGTCAGCTATCGCCTGCTGCTTTCGAAGTTTCTCCATCTTCAGCGTCAGGGCCTTGATCTGGTTCCGAGCGTCATTTACTTCGTTCGCAAGAGCCTTGGCGGCGTCATATTTACGTTTGAGAGCTACTTTGTTGTCTCTAATCACGTCGTTCTTTGGGTATTGAGCCTTGAAAGCTTCAAAGGCCTTAGCAGGGTCCTCCAGCACGGCTGGATCCACCACTAGCGTCGACGCGTAGTCTCCCGGAGGCTTCTTCGGTGTATTTTGCTTCTTTTGAGGCTTCGAGTCGTGTTCCTCTTGGTTGCTGGAGTAGTCTACGAATCCTCTTGATAGTAATTCTGCGGGGACTGCAGCTCCGTGATTTTCTCGAATCATATTAACCATAATAGCAATCTCATTATCGCGCTGCTGAACGAGTTGTTCGAGCTCGTGCAGACGTTGCTCCAGCTCCTGATTGTTGCCTCCAGAGCCAGCGGAAATGAGTTTTCCATCGCTATTTGGGCCAGAAAGTCCTGAGCTACCAGCTGCAGCTGCTGCTGCTCCAGCAGCATTGGCCATACTCTTGAGAATATCAAAACACGCTTTCATCTTCGTGTACGTGAACTCTCCCATCGCCAAGTGCGCGCTTGGCTCCGAGTCATTTACAAAGTTCAAGCACTTTTGACGTAGCTTGTCCATCTCGTAGTCTTTTAGCTCGGCACCTTCATTCTTTACGGTAGGTCGGTTAGCAATTGTAGTACTATCACTTTTGATACTAAACATTACTTACCACATCGCCCTTGAGGATGGCTAACTCCTCTTCAAGAGAAGCGACACGAGCCTTCAGCTGGCGGATGATCACTGCGGGGTCCACTTCCTCGTTCAGACGCGCGTCGTTCTTGACACGCGCCACTCGCTGTGCAAATCTACAGGTTGACACGGATTCCTACAAGTCGAGTAGTTAATATCACTAACGCGCATGGATAGCAGAATTATAATAGTACTTCCTTACATCAGTTTGGTCTTTTTCGGGACTCACAGTCGCCACCATGACAGTCTTACAGTTGCCACCGAGAGAGTCTCGCAGTACTGAAGTCATCATGGAGTTACGATACGGAATGTGTGATCTCCCTTTGGTATTCTTCTCATGTAGCGCCACAATGACCATTTCAAGGTAGTGCAAACTCGTGTTGATGTAAGCGGCTTCACGTAGTAGTTGGCCTTTAGCGCCAGTCTTGTGAGCTCGCTCTGACCCTGCTAGATCCACGAGATGCAGCTTGGAGCGCAGTACCACCTCACTCCCCACTCTCCTCGTCTCCAGTGATACAGTGAAGATGCAATGAGAACGGGAAGACGCCAAGTTCATTGCCGTCTCACTCACAGCTCGGTTCGTATCGCCTAGGAAGAGGAGATTGAGTGCGTCTTCCTCTGTTGTCACTGGGTGCATGGATAAGTTCCGCAAGTGGCAATTCCCGTCTTCATCTTCTAACATGGCTACACGCGGCAGATCATCCAACGACTTGGTCGATTCGTGGTTCGGATCCAACAAATCGTAGCCCTGGTTGTTGTAGATCTCAAGATATGAAATCTGAGCGATGATCTGGGCTTGACTGGTTTGGTTGCGCATGCGCTCGAAGATCAAGGACAAGGCACGCGGAATGAGACCGCGATCATCGTAGCGCTCTGCTCCGCCTGTAATCGTGAAGGTTTTACCCGATCCCGTCTGACCGTAGGCGAACACCGTCGAGTTGAAGCCGTTCAACGCGCTCTCTACACAGGGACGTCCCACTCGATCGAACACTTCTTCCTGTCTGGCTTCCATGCCGATGACCGAGTCGAAGCGGAATTTGTACGATGTGCGGGAATTGTTGATCAGCCCAGCTGCAATATCTTTCGGGATGTCGTACTTCATCATGCTCGAGTCTTCATCCCACGAGAAGAAGCCCGAGGGTTTCTTGGAGGGCTTGACACGCAGGAAGATGCGAATGTTTGCATCTTCGTCAGCCTTCTGTTCCTCGTCGCCGTTCAACGTCGATGTCGTATCGTCCTGGTCCTCATTGCGGATATTATCATCGTCTCGGTTCATGTTGAGAGATCTTGTGCCCCAGAGTCGCCAAGATCATTAGCCAATCAGACGGCGCTTTCGCGTCGTTTCGTGCGCATGATAAAGTGATAAGAAAGCAAGTTGGATATAGTCTACTACGAGCGGAGATGAATCCTTTTTGAAAGAATTGAGATGATAATGATACTATACGAGAGGCGTCGTTTTGGCCTGGGAGGGCAGTTCCTAATATGACTGGTGTGAATATCTTCTATCGGAGCGTTGCCGATGATAATGCTACTTCATTTAACAGCTGCTCCTCTTAAAAAAAACACCAACATACAGGAAGCAAGCATGTGCGATTGCGCGGGGACTAGTCGTGCACTGTACTGTATGATAGCAGGTTATTGGTTTCGCTGTGGGTTATCGCAACATTCTTGCAGCACTTATATCAGACCCCACGTCGCCAATGAAATAAGATTGGTTAGACTGTCCAAGCTGAAATATCATAAAAAGGTACAGCTTAAACTGTTAAAAATACTACTTTTCCCTTTTACTCCCACAATAGTAGGACGTGTCGAATATAGAGGAAGTGTGTCTGATCGTGCTGGCCAACATCGACTGAGACAGTGACCCAAGTACACTACAAGTAACCATGCCTCAAAGGACTGGTCGAAGCCATACTGTAAGCCGTCTCACTAAGAAAAACGACAAGAACGAAGATAGGAATCTAATACGGTCAAATTCTGTTTGTATTCCTCGTTACTACACTGCGATCAATTATCGTCTACGTGTGCTTAGCATTGGTGATGGGAGAACATGCCTCTGCAAGAACACCAAACGTTAGAAAAAGAAAAGAACATATGAGAGCTCCTGGGACTTACTGTAAACTTGCCACGCTGCTTCGTGGAGGGCCAGCCAGTAAAACGTGAGTTGACATTCGCCATCACACAACGCGTCGTAGTCAACAGGCAGATGAGCTGGATACGACGTGAAAGTAGCTCGGCAGTCGTCGTTGTGAAGCGCACGACGCTCGTCTACCCAAATCTCGCACGGGCCATGGTGCGATTCGACAAAACCGCGTTGCTCTTCGTCGTTCTGCCAACGCACCTCTGACGTACCGGTGACATTAACCGGATCAACATCGACGCGCGTGTTACCGCAGTCTGGTACGACAGGATCCAGCATCTCACGCAGCGACGAGTAGCTGGAATTCCGAAATGATGAGGCGAACATCGCAGCGTTGAGCTCTGGGGTGTCATTCCACTTCTTCCCACCAAAGCTGGTTAGGTCGATCGTTTCGGAGACAGTAGTGACGAACGATGTGGATGTGTACGGATCGCGGTAAACAGCAGCCGGAACGAGAGATATCCGTGGCCGTGCGCCTCTGGAAGCCAGGAAAGTATCATCGTGACGATGAACCCGCTTTGGAGCTTGATACCGACACGCATCTTGACGTAGTTTGAAGCAGGTTAGAGATTTCGAGGACTTCAATTTGGAAATGAAGAGACTACAAAGGTAGCGTAGCCTTCGCATCAGATTCCATGTACTGACGTGGCTAATCAGACATTGGCATTGAACAACAGTAATGGCGATCGATTGACAATTACCTCTCATGCAACGATTCTGATTTGTTGGCGAGACAACGCACACAACGGGGTGATAAAGCGGCCTTCTATTTATTATTTTACGTTTTCCAAAATTTTCGACTTCGTTGCGTTTCAGCAACCGTTTTGTATTTTCTAAGTTACCGATTTAACTGATTAAACCGTGTAATATGGGTCTTGGAAATGTTTGTCAATGAATTCTAAAATCCGACTTTAATACGAAGCAACGTGTTAAAACGACATTTTACATTGTGACTGTTGGACGCGACTTGATGCCGTCCGTCTATCTTAACCCACTTCTGCGTGGATTTGGCAGCTTGAATTGTTTCAGTTACAATGCTGGATACTTGATCTTGTGCTCTGGGTGTCTATTAGTTCCGTGATGATGGTGCTCATTAGCGGTTTCATTGCCTCAGAACCAACCCGCGCTGGGGCACCCCATGTATAGCGAAGAATTTGTTGAGCTCGCTTGGGCTGACGGTCTTCGCGTGAAAGTCCTGTTTCTCTGTCGCTCAAATATCGGCGTTCCTGAGGACAACGCACATAACGTGTGTGTTGCCAGCGATCGATCAGTTTTCTAATCCAAAACTAATAACTTGTTTGCCAATATAAAACCCGTTTATCGAAACGTGCTCAATTCATCACACCGATCAACCGTTAAGACCGATGGGAGATGTTTCACTTTTTTACATTACAGCTACTGGAAACCTAGTTTGAGCGGAAAGTTTGATCGCCTAGAGAATTTGTTGGCCATACATAAGACCCTATTTGGTTTTAAAGGCACCCAAAATCCATTTTAAAACAGTTAAATCAATTTAATCGGTAATTTAAAATAGATTACAGATTCAAACAATTATTGTTAGTTTCCAGGAAAATCAAAGAATGAATTAGATGTTTTATCTGCGCTATCCAGAGGGAGTGGGTACCTATCTAGCGTCATCAAAGGCACTATCGTGATTTCTCCTTTTTGTGTCATCAGTTGAGTTGACCAGTTACAACACTTCCCCGCAACTCAGCTGGAGTCAGATGAAGGGCGAGTCCGATCCTTGTGCGATGGTCCAGAAATCGTTTCGCTCCGAGTGCTTTTGTGAGTCCGTCGGCAAGCATTGTAGTTGTAGGGCAATACTCTAGTTTGACGCTGCCATTCTTGTACGCTCGAATGGTACATGACGTCAATAGTCTTTTGAGCTTCCGATGTCTTGTTGCTCGTAATTCGGTGAATGGTAGACTTGTCGTCTACGAGCACGAGGAGTTGATCTTCTTCGTGACTTTGTCCAATGGCGTTCATGAAGAGTTGAATCCACGTGACCTCCTCGACTCCCATTGAACATACGATGAATTCGGCTGCAGTAGAAGACTTCGCCACCACAGATTGCCGTTTGCAGATCCAACGTACTGTGCATCCATACACTTGGACAAGAACTCCAGAGATCGATTTTCTGTCGGTGATGCTGTTCGCCCAGTCTGCATCAGTGAACGCTTTGATTCTGGGGACTTGACGGTTTCGGCGATAAGTAAGTGCTGCTGATCTTGTTCCCCCGACATGGCGTAGAATCTTCTTCACAGCATTCCTGTGATTCACTGTGGGTTTTGCAGCTCCTGCGGCAACTTGGCTGACTGCATACGCAATATCCGGCCTCGTTACTTGGCTGAGGTACAAGAGAGCACCTACAGCTTGTTTGTAAGGAACTTTGGTGGCAAGAGCGTCTTTTTCTTCGCCAGGGTTTAGTATAGTGCTCTGATCCATAGGAATTTCCGAAGTACGGCAATTGTCCATGGCGAAACGTTCACAAACTTCAGTGGCATACTGTTCTTGGTCGATAGTCATCACACCAGAGTCCATGTCCCGGGTTATACGCATTCCAAGGAACCACGATAATTCTCCCAAGTCCTTGATTTGATATTTCTCTTCCAATGCATTTACCAGTTGCTGCATATCTTCGATGTTCTTGTAGCCCACCAGGATGTCATCTACATAGACAAGTACGATCAGGACTTTGGTTTGGTGCTTGTAGACACACGGATCCTCTCGAGTAGGTTTTAAACCGGTAGATCGCAAAAAGTTGTCGAGTTCGATGTACCATTCTCGACCGGCTTGTTTTAATCCATACAGAGCTTTACGAAGTAGCCAAACCTGACCAGGTTCTCCTTCTTCAAAGCCTCGGGGCTGTTTAACATAAATCAACTCACGAAGGTTAGCTTTAACAAATGCAGTTGAGACATCACCTTGTCTGATGAGGAGTCCAGAGTGGTTACACTCGGCCAAGAAGACCCGAATTGAAACGAGTCGCGCAACGAACGCGTACGTATCAATATCGTCAATCATGTATATTTCTTGGAAGCCTTGCGCGCAGATCCGGGCCCGTAGTCGTTCGACTTTTCCATCTGCATGGCGCTTAACTCTAAAGGTCATGGCTGTCCCGATAACATGAGCACCTGCAGAGGGAGTCACCAGTGTGAACGTACCATTTGATCGAAGTGCTTCGATCTCAACCCGTATGGCGTTTTCCCATTCCGACCACTGAGGGGAGCGCCTCGCTTTCTTCAATGTCAGTGGTTCTTGGATCACTTCAGTCATGGCTAAGAAAGCGGCTCCAATGCTACGGCTGGATATCCGCTCCGATCGCCTCCGCCTGGTTAAATCTGTAGCCCCATTGAGTTCCTCGACAAGTGCCGTTGAAAATGAGGCTGCTTTTCTTTCCCGTGTTCGGTCGTCCTCGGTTGGAGCGGATGTCCTATCCGTTGGTCTTCCCCGCATTGAGTCGCCGCTGGTTGTGGTTGAGAATTGTTCTTGTAGAGGGATCATTGGAACACCTGGGTACTGTGCGCTTGGGCGCTTCAGCGGTGAACCCAGGAACTTAACGTCGCACGTATTCACAATTCTTGCTCCACCTTCTCTCACGTATACAAATTAACCCTTGCGTTGTTCATCATGTTCCACGAATACTCCTCTTTGGCCTACTGGTCTAAACTTGAACAAAGTGCTGCGCTTACCGGGCGGTAGATTCACTGTAACACTTTCTCCAAAGGTGTGAGAGTCCGACAGGTCCGGCATTTGTCCATGGTACTTAGCGTAGGGCGTTGTCGATATTTCGCTGCGTGAAGTTACTCGGTTTCTTATGTATGCAGCAGCTCGAACAGCGTACTCCCATAGGTTGTGGGGTAAACCAGCTTGGATCAGCATTGTCCGTGCCGCCTCGAAAAGTGTTCGGTTCGTTCTTTCCACCACACCATTCTGGTAGTATACGTCAGGCTCAGAAAATGGTCGTTCCAGGCCTGCTTCATCACATAGAGTATTAAACTCGAATTCCCCTCCATTGTCCGTTCGCAGAACACGGATTTTCCTTGAGTCTTCACGGTTTTTAATCATAAGTAGGAACTTTCTAAAGCACTTCACAGCTTCATCCTTCGTCTTTATAAAGTACACGTGAGTATAGT